AAAAAAAAAACTCCCACAATGTAAATAATGCCTGTAAATAATGAACTTTAAACAGAACAATGGAAATAGTTTAAAAGTAAGAACAGAAAATTATGTGACCTACAGGTATTAACCATAAAAAGTTTGACTAAGAAATAAATTATACTCCAGAAGAAAAATATTATAAAGGATTAAGAGTAATGTATAAATTGATAAAAAGACTATTCATCAAGGAAATGTAATACTCCCAAGTAAGTATGAAGCCCCAATAGAACTTGTAAATGTGTGAACCAAGTCCTGAGAAAACAGAAGGGAAAAATAAATTATACCACAATTGTTGAAACAAAGATGTAAACCTTCTTACTCAATAACAGAGGCTCTAAGTCACTAAAAAATACATAAGGTCATTGAAAACTTAGCACTACCAATACAACTTAACTAATATAAGGCATGAACAGAAAAATTCTTTTCAAGTGACATGGAACATTACGAACAGTATTCAGGCTAATACAATTTAATAAATTTGTAAGAATTTATGACATACTGAGTATATGATCTCTCCAAAGGAAATTGAATTAGAAAGGAAAAGCAGACAGTTAACTGGGAAAATTAAAAAATATTTTAAATGTTTAATAAACACTCTCATCCATGGATCAAAAAAGGAATAATCAGAAAAGTTAGAAAGTATTTTGAATTGAGTGTAATAAATCTACAACACAACAAAATGATTTTGACAAAGTTAGACCAAGATATTGAAGGATAAAAAATCTCATTGATCTATGCTTTCCAAATGAGAGTACTTTATTTGATGTAATGTATCCTCCAATTTCATTAAGGATAGAAATCATCCCAGCTACTTATAGGCTTGGAGACCATTTTCTTCATTATCGTGTTTGAGGAGTTATATACCAGAAATTTCATTTTGCATTAAAGAATAGTAACAGCAATATTTGAATGCCTACAATTCTATAAACACTACGCCAATTGTCAAAAACACTGATATGATTGTGATTATTTTCTTTTATCTTCTGGATTAACAATACAGTTTTCAGGGCTGGAGCAGTAGTTGGTGCAAACTAAGAGTATCATTAATGAATATCTGGTAGGCAAGCACTTGTTATTGCATAATAAAAAATGCCTGCAAATACACATTTACCTGTACCTTTTCCAATTTCTATTGGTAGCTTCTCAATGGAAATGGGATCTTGGAAGTTATTGCTTACCCTTTTTGGTTACACCATGTAGAAAATTACTCAATGATTTTGAAATAATCCCTTCTCCAAGCCAGAGTTTTTTTTAAAAATAAGTTTGTTACTGTGAAAATACCATACAGAGGTATTACAGAGTGGTTACAGTTACATGAGCAAGGTAATGAGTACATTTCTTTTCAAGCATTGTTGCCTCCTCCTTTGTTTTTCCCCTTCTATCCTTTCCCTCCCATCTCAACTATGCTCCCCTTTTTCCACACACCCGTAATCCCCTCCCCCCCAAATTGTAAAGTTCTTCTTCCAGTCTGTTGGCTGTCTTTCTAGTTTAATAACTATGTCCTTTGCTGTACAGAAACCTTTTGTTTTGATGTATTTCCATTTGTCAAGTCTCTCTCCTATTTATTGTGCCCCTTGGAACTCTTTTCAAAAAAGTTCCTATCTATGCTTCTATCGCCTAATGTTTCTCCTACTCCAACTGTAGTAATTTCAAAGATTTAGGCCCAAGGTTGAGGTCTTTGATCCACTTTGAATTGATATTAGTCAAGCGACAAATTTGGAGTTTACAAATCCTGTGCTTAAATAAGCCCATGCTAGGTCTATGCTTGTGTGCCATGGTCAAGACTGGAATGTCTTCTAGAGTGACTAAGGATGAAGAAACAATGTTGGAAAATGATGAGATTAATATTGGAATAAACTGACTATTATCATTTCTTCCCACTTTTACTCAATAATAATCAATTGAAAATGAGAGTCAGAATGAAGTTTGTTCATAATGAACCTTGGAGACTAGCCAGAATATCTTGACCTATGTTTCTTGATGCCAAATTACTTTAGTTGAGATCTAAATTCTAGTCAACCAAATCAGTATTTTCATATTTACATACCTTTTCTACAGTGGAAAATTTCTAAATACGTTAATTGAGTTTTGTCCGATATGTAGTGATTGATAAATAGATGAACATAGAGTAAGATGAGAGTTGGGGATAAATATGTAAATTTAGTGCATTGATTCTTTTTATGTCAATCAGGAAAATAAACCTGCAGAAAATGTTAACATTTAGATAAGAAAGGTCATAAACATTTATTTTAGAATTAGCAATGTTTTCAAAGAAACATTTAAGATCTTATCTGTGGCTAAAATGTTCTTCTGTGATACCTTGGTTTTGTAGGAAAAAATGGTAAAAGATAAAAGGAAATGAGTTCAAAGGAAAAGATGGCAATCATCTATGTATCTATTTGAGACATTTATAAATTTAAGACTTGGAAGGGAATATGTAAAGGATGTATTAAATGGAACTGATACTATATCTGTTATGGTCTCTTTTATCTTTACTTCCTGTAATGCTAGCTCAACTTTTAAATTAATTAGCATTATTTAATTGAACATGTTTATGGGATGCAGTGTAGTAATTTGATATGTATATGCAATGTGTAATCATCAGATCAGGGCAGTTAGCATTTTCATTTCAAATGATCTTCAGCAATTTTTGATTAACACATAATAATAGCACATATTTATGAGGCCTAGTGCTATGTTTTGATACATGCATAAATTATGTACTGATCAAATCAAGGTAATTAACATTTCTATTTCCTTATCACTGCTTTGTGCTTGAGCCTTCAAATTCCTATCTTCTCTTTTCTTAGCTAAAAAAAAATCTATAACAATGGCAAACCAGTACTAAAAACTTGTTAACCACACGAGATATTGGTACAATTTTATTTTGTATTTCAATGCCTGAACATCTATTAACTTAATACAAATTGTTCACTCATTAGAATGTGAACAGTACCAAAAGAGTGAAGTCTATTTCGTTTTAATTTTGCCTTATTTTAACTTACAATTTATTTCATATGTCTATAAAATAAATAATTCTGTAGCCAACAATTTTCTTTATAAATAATTGTATGTTACTATAATTAGTATCTTAAATCTACCTCCTTAATAGATAGAATTGTTAAAAAAGAATTCACATTATTTTTAAAGTCTTATTTCCAATTTTTTCTAGCAAGCTTTTGACAATTTATAATTGCATCAGTAATGTACAAGTATGTCTTGGCTGACAATAGGAATTCATTTTTTTGGATATCTTGCTAACTTGAAACCTGATCATGAATACTAGCTTTCTTGTGTTTCATTAGCTGTGAGGATGTGTGTTATGTCTTACTTTACAAATTGTCTTTTCTTCTACCATCCTATTGAAATAAAAATTAAGGGACACATGTAACTTTCAAGTTTCTGGAGTTGTATTAACAGTATAAATATTGTTGCTGTTGTTTTTAATGTACTTATGTATTATGTGATTTTTTTCTTTTGTATGTTCTTCCCTCATGGTATAACCCTGTTTTCACTGTATTTGATTCCAGTACCCTGCATCTTGTATATTCATTTTTCTAATTTAGGGAGGGGAAAGGAAATAACAAAATGCTGAAACAAGGATACAGGTTGACCCATTGTAACAATGAGATGTACAAGACAGTATGTTGAAAAAAAACTTACAACTTGGGGAGGTGGGGAGAGAAGAATGGTAGGGGAAAAAAATAGGAGGGGGTAGCAGTGCTTGATGGGAAATGTACTCATTACCTTACTCCTTAACTATAACCCCTTTGTACAGTATCTTTACAATAAAAATATATATTAAAAAGAGTGTAAATATTGGGAAAAATCTTTTAATACTAATGAGGTATTTAGCACAATTAGATTTTAACATGCAATCATTAATACAAATTTTAATCAACTTTCATAACATGGTTTTGACATCATGTATATTTGACATGTGCAAATATTTAAATTAAAACTGGTCACAGTTGATGTGTTTATTAATTGTATGTGATGATCAGACTCTTCATTGGACAGAAAAGCTCTAGAAGTATGATCTCTGAGGTTGCAACACCAAAGAATAGCATAGAAGGGCTCCCGTTGGCTTACTCAAAAAGCAAGCTCATTTGTCTGCTTACATAGCTACAAAAAGGGTGTTGCACAAGTGTTTGCACAATCATAGCACAGACTGACGTGATCAGCTATGCTTGTACCAATCACAGAAGAGTTCTTTATGCAAATTCATGTGAATGAAAGACCATGCTTTGTTCTTTCATCAATAATAGCCTTTCCATTGGACCACCATGGGAAGTGCTCTCTTTCCAGTCTG